TTGGAGAAGTTTACAATCAAGGAAGATCTGTAACGAATCCGCAAACTCGCAGAGGACAGGGAAGGCTGGCAAAATATTTTTCGTATCAGTATACAATGTCATTGAAGATGAGAGAACATGTCAATTCCTGACCTCAAATCGAAACAGTTTTGATGATGATGATGAAGGGTAGCCAAAGATGATTCGGAAGAAGTTGGTTAAAGATCTTCCAATCTATCTATTGCTATACAATCCATCAGCGTGTAAAGCGCCAAGTGCGAAAAGTAACGCCTCTGAAGAAATTACATGTTGAGGTGAATGTGGTATTTGCTAAGGCACATATGGTCGGCATCCGCACGCATCGGGGTCGTCATACTCTCTCACTGATCATTTTCTCCCCGCCGGTGCAGGTGGCAGAGATGACTGTGAGTCAAAGAGGGTTTGACGTGACCATTTGCGTGAATTTGATGGACAACACTGCGCAACAGGGAAGCCCACACACTTTACCAGAATCGCCTCCATCGTGGCTCAAAGGGGATCTAGACGGACGGGATCTTGTAAACCTGGTTGTATCGGGCTGTTGGATGCTTTGTATCTCAAGGTACGCCTTGGTTACGCCAGACCGACTGGCGTTGGCCTCTTCCGCCGGTTTGTCTGTTGAGGTCTTTGCTTATTTCGTCGTCGGGGGTTGGTTGCGTTCAGTCTGGATCCTCCTCCTCGACCTTACCGACATTAGTGGCCCTAGAGGAGTTGAAACTCCGGACGGCTTCACTCTTGGAATCACTGGGACACGTAAGCTCTCTACCATGACAAGAAACGACTATATATGTTTTACACTGGCTGTTTGAATGAACAGTTCGTTATGAAATGTCCCGCTTTGATTTATTGTTAGTTTAATGATAATAATAGAAATGAATAAGTAAATAAGAAAAGAATAAAAATACAGAAATATCATGAAATATATGAACATATTTTATTATTGTTGTTGCTAAAAATAAATATTTGAGATAAATAATGTTGTGGATTCCGAGATGACATCCGGTACCAATAAATAACAAACGCCAGGAATGAATAAATGAAAATAATGTATTAACGTAATTATACAAACTGGTAAAGCAGGTTAGTAGTTCCAGGAATACGGGTTTGTAGCAAATATATATATATATATAGTCTTTTGTATTGAAGTATCGCTGTATGCCTTCTTACTGAGTATACGTGCTCGCTCACTGTGACTCCTACAACGCTGTTACCTCACCCTCACTCTTCCGGTTACCTACAATCTTTTACTCTCTCACTCTGGACTCGACTCTTCCGTCTTGCTTTCGTCTTACTCTCGTGTCTTCTCGTAGCAGTAGTATATGTATATACTGGGTGAGTCCATTTGTGTAAAAAGGAGTGGACCCCTCAACAAATAATAAAGAAAGAATTTCAACACTGAAATAGTAGTAAAAAAAAAATAAATAAATAAAAATAAAATAACGTTAAGACTCAAACGCTTTTCCTACAATATTGAAAATATGTCCTCGTCCATAAAAGATGTTTCGTTATTACAATCATTAAATAAGAAAAGGATAAAAATTATTGGCCCTCGTTCGATGGCGTTCCTTCGGAGGATTGGTGCGATAGCGTCTCGATTAAGGGACGAACCTCGCGAAACGGAGTGGCTCTTGCAGCGTGTCTCACTGGCGATGGTTCGAGGTAATGCTTTCTCCATCATTGCGGCTGGAAGAAGATAGCAAAAAAAAACAAAAACAAAAAAAACCCTTAAAAACAAACAAAAAAAAAATATATTTTTGCTTATAGATACTTTGTTCAAATAAATTTGTTCGTTCCTTTCAAATGAAAAAAATAAAAAAATAAAGGAATAATTTACGTATGCCGATGCATACATTAAATTATTCCATTATTTTTTATTTTGGTTATTGTTTTATTGTTTTATTATTTTATGATTATTATTATTATTATTATTATTATTATTATTATTATTTTTATTGTTTTATTGTTTTATTATTTTTTATATTTGGTTATTGTTTTATTTTTAAAATAATTGTTTTAGCAAGTTTACATTATTAAGCTTGTCTCTTATTAATAGGAGTTGTTAGATTAGGAAAATTTAATACATTATATTTGTAAAATGACACTGACATGAAATAACATTTCTTGGTAAGATGAAATCAAGATATTCATATTTGTCTGCACGTCATATCGTTATGACAGGGTGAAGAAAAGAGAAGAATTAAAACCACCGTCCCAATTTTGAAATATGGAGGCGGCAATGCAATTTTATGGGATCGTATTACACGATATAGGGTGACTCCATACAATTAAATCGTATGGTAATAGTAGCCGTTTCCTTATAAGGAGACATTCAATATTCACTGACCAAAACGTCACTACTACATTCAGGTGAAATTTATGAAATCTTTCTATTAACATATTTTTTGGAAAAATCGGTGTCTCGTTTCCAGTACCTGTTATAGCTCTTGCCAATTTCGATTGGGATTTCTTCTTAAGCTTTTCTTTAAAGTAGTGCGGATTTCTCATTATATCCATTTTATTTGTTTTGATGTTGAATGGCCACAGGTGCTCTTTGGTACAGTTCTTTGTGATTCTGTAGCGCCTGTCCACGAGTTTCGAAGACGGATAATCCTCGTTAATACATACATAATTCATTGACTCGACGTTATTATTAACCGTTGCTCTGAGTAAACGGTTGTATACAACTGACAGTTTAGATATTTCTGAACAAGTTTCGAGCCATGAATTTCATCTATGAGAATGGTAATGTTAATGATCATGGAAATATTCGCCGTTTCCCTATTCATTCATTAAACAAAAAAGTCAATCGTGCGCCATGAGTTCGCTAGTTTGGAAGTGGAAGGTATCTTTCTCTCTAGCGAACTGTTATTGATGTGATGTCCCTTCAAAGATTTCCGGCTGTGCTGCAAGAAAGACTGCGAAAATCGTAGCAGCATCTATTGAACATTGAACATAGTTTCTGATTTGCAAAGGTTTCTCTTGCTAGAGGATGCTAATTTTCTGTTCAAGTTCGTTCTTACCCCAAATATGAATACCTATGTCATCGGCATACCCGCCTCATCATCAATACATTGGCCTCTGGAGGGAAAGCAAGATGAAAATTTCCATCTGACGATAAGAACATGGCTTTATTTGTAGCAATTTGCATTGTTGGACAAAACTAGTGCCGGCACCGCCTATTCTATAGCCAATTTCGTTATCGTCTATACTTAATTTATTATAACTGATCTACACACCGGTGTAGAAAAAAAGAAATCTTTCTCTTAAAACTCATTTTGGGGGGAAAACAGGATTCTCAAGTCCAGTAGCTATTATAGCTCTTTTCTAACATTTATTTGAAGTGGGATTGAATGCTAACATATTATGTTTTTTCCGAGTTACACGTGCTATCCATTTTAGTTGTTGCAGCTGTTGGTAGTTCTCAAGTCATGTTGTTTCTATTATTTGGTATAGTTCTTTGTTTGGGATTGTGTAACGCCAGTTAACAATGTTCAAAGTAGGGTGATCTTTGCCAAGATCCTGAAGCTTTACTCGCTCAAAGTCTTTTTTTCAACATTGATCTTAGAAAGTGGTTGTATACAATTGACAGTTTAGATATTTCTGATGGGGTTTGGTACTAGGCATGGCATCCATATGAAAGCCTCGATCTGACGATGCTATTTAAGAACATGACTCAAGTTTACAGGTTAATGTTTTGGTTTGGGGGCAATTTCCGGTATTGGGCGAAACTTCTGGCGCAGAGGTAGTTTCGTTCAATTTCGTTCTTTCCTATACTTATTTTTTTTATAACTGATTCATACACCTGAACTCCACACAGTGAATTTTTATGATGGATTCAGTGTAGATGTCATCAGTGTTTTCATTCCAATACCAAATAATAGTTTCTGTTTTGCAAAGGTTTGTTTTGAGTTCCATTTCTTGGAACACTTGCTAGAGGATGCTAATTTTCTGCTCAAGTTCATTCTTATCCCAAATATGAATACCTATGCCATCCCCATATCCGCCTCATCATCAATATATCGGCCTCGGGAGAGAACGCTGGATTCCTATCTACAGTCGTTTCGGATGTTATATATAATGCTTAAATGGTCAATGCCTATCTCCTCACACCCGTGTTTGTAAATGCGCAGGACATAATCTAGGAAGAGATTCCATAGGCTGGGACTCTCATTTCTTCTTTGTCATATTCCTGATGAGGTTTGAAATGTTTCCATATTATGATCCTCGCTAGACATGTAAGATTCTGTAGATCGATACAGTTCCTCCATTAGATCGATGCATTCAGTGGATTCGGGGCTTGGAAGATGGATGCTAATGGATGAGAAAAGGAAGGTTCTGTTGATATGGTCATGATGAACTGCTTTCGCTGGTTCCAAGATTTCATGATTTTAAGCATTCAACTAGGCTGGCATTTCACTCTTTCACTGTCAAAACTGTTAATGACGAATCCAGCATACGTGCCATCAGTGTTTTCATTCCAAATCATAATTTCTGGTTAAGAAAGGTTTATCTTGAATCTTATTTCTTGGTACACATGCAAGAGGATGTTAATATTCTGTTCAAGTTCATTCTTATCCCAACTATGAATACCTATGTCATCAGCATAGCCGCCTCATCATCAATACATTTGACCTCGGGAGGGAAAGCAAAATGAAAGTTTCCATCTGACAATAAGAACATGGCTGTATTTATAGCAATTTGCATTGTTGAACAAAACTACTGCCAGCACAACTTATTCTATAGCCAATTTCGTTATCTTCTAAACTTAATTTATTATAACTGATCTACACACCGGCGAAGAAGAAAAGATATTTATTAATGAATTATATTAAACAAGAACATCCTTAGATTAGTTAAAGTTAACTGGAAATATGTGCACTTCAAATGCAAACAGATTCTAATTTAAAAATTAAAAATTTAGCCTGTTGTTCAAAGTACTCCATGATCTGAGCCCGATTTATAATTTTTGTTCCTTCTCATGGTTACGGCCATATCACATTGAAACACCTCCTCTCGTGTCATCACCGAAGTTAAGCTACGTAGAGTCTGTTCAGTACTTAGATGAGTAACCGCTTGGGAATAGTAGGTGCTGTAAGCTTGGATGTGCGGGTGGTGTAATTAATAATGGCTCCGAATTTTTAATTGAGCCGAGTTACAATTTCATTTGGTTTCATTATATTCACTTATGTGCAAATACCATTTGGAAAGGTATGAATCCACCTCCTCTCCCCCAACTATGGGTTAATTAGTAAGACTTGTATCATTAAAAATATTAATATCTCACCAGAAAATTCTTACAAACTAAAAATATTTTCTAGGTTTTAATTATAGTTGTGATAGAACAATATATTTTTAAATTTGTTTTATATAGTCCTGATGATTCTCCGTGGCCTAACTGGTAAGCGAGATTTAGTTTAAAAGTGGTTCCCCTGATTGAAATGGATTCTCTTTAGTAAGACTTGCAGATATCTAGGCTGAAAGAGATGATTTTCACTATATATAAAAAACAAGAATATCTACTCAAAAACCTGTTCCAGTTAAATATAACTTTTATAGTAATAAAGGCTACATAACATGAACTTTGGTTAAAAGCATTCAGACTTGCATTGATCAACCAGGCGTTTTCTTTCTATGCTAGGATTATATAATTAATATTTATTTTTATTCGCATCACGGAAAAACAGACTATTACAGTTGATTTTCATTTAAAAAGTCAGTCAGTTATGTGCCATGTGTGATACAAGCTTAGACGATCATGTATCTTTCGATACATGACTGACAACGCAGATTTTTTCCCGCAGTAGGTTGCCATTTCTTTCTGCGGTAGACCTGTTGCCATCTAGGGCAGAATAGAACTCGGCCTGTCCTGCTGGGGGAAGGGAAGAAAAGATGATTCACACCTTTCCCAAGGGTATTAGCACGTAAGTGAATGTAAGGGATTCGACTGGAATTCGAACTCGACTCTCTGATTATTTCAATCCGAGACGCCATCCATTACTCCACCGCGCCATTTAAAAAGACTGAAGCTGAAATATTTCATGGGCTTAGGAGTAATCTACATTTAAGTTTATTTGAATCTAAGCTTGTGGAAAAAACATTCTGAAGACATTTTATTCAAAGACATTTTCGCGTGGTCTGACAGCATAGGTTTGGTCCCAATGAATAGCTGTCTGCAAGTTTTGATGATAAACTACTTGGTGTGAAAAGCTTATGTCCAGTTACGACTATTTATCAATTCTACTCAAACGATCACATTGAATAGATTGTGTTTTTCTTTAGTTTTTACATCCCTGCCTAATGATAGAAGTAAAAAGAGAGAAACAGCGAACGTGCGTGAGAAAGAGAATTAAATTAGAAATGAAAGTATCTATGTTCTTTTTTTTAATCATTTCCCTCCAAGCAAGGCCGGAGTGCCACTAGTCCACAGGTGGTTAAAGAGAGTGAAAATGAGAGAAAAGAATGGGGATGGGGTGGGGATTGGGGAAAGAATAAATGATGAACGGGGTTCAAAACAACAGAAGATGGCGATTGACGTTGCATTTAAAAAAAATTTCAGTGAAGCAAGTAAACAGAAATGAGTTTCACAAACGGGAAGTGTGAGAAAGAAACTGTTGGCCTATCAGTGACAGTTGAATCTATCTATCTATCTTGACCTATTCAGATCTATCTATCTATCTTAGTCGGACTTTCTCTGTGTCAACCATTTTCTTTCTTTCTTTCTTTCTTTCTTTCTTAGTCATAATTTCGTATTGTCTACATGATTCTACTTTTTTCTTTCTTACTATCTATCTATCTATCTATCTATCTATCTATCTATCTATCTGTCTATCTATCTATCTATTTCAGTTTATTCATTTCCTGTCTATCTATCTATCTATCTATCTATCTATCTATCTTAGTTGGACTTTTTCTTTCTTTCTTTGTCTCTCTGTCATATCAGTCATAATTTTTTTTGTCTACATGATTCTTTCTTCCTTTTTCCCTTCTTTCTATCTATCTATCTATCTATCTATCTATCTGCTTCAGTCATATACAATCACTTGTTCGGATCAGTGGTTGAAAATGGCCTCGAGCGAATTAACATCTATCTATCTATCTATCTATCTATCTATCTATCTATCTACTAACCGATGAATAAATGAACAACGAGAATGCTGACAGATACATGGATTAGCATTTAGACCCAGGATGACCAATATAGCAAAAGCAGGAAATTGAACAGTCAAAAAGATAATCTCGTTTATTAATGGATAAACGGAAGGCCAGTGAGATTGATAACTCACTTGACAGTATGATTGACAGAAAGATTCATAAGTTGAAGAAATGAACATAGGCAATCAATCTTAAGAAACTTGCAAAATACTAGTGATATACGAATTGGTTTATGTATTAGTTATGCGTAAAGAAACAGATATGCACATAAGCACATATCTATCTATAGAATTCGGAACAAACTGAGATAGATAGAAGCAGAATGAAAAAGCTGGCTAGATAGCAACAGAATCAGATAGATAGATATAAATTTATAAACACAGACGCACACAAAGAAAGAAGAACCTTGCCCAAATAAAAAGTGAATAAATTATTTTTTTAATTCAATATAAAAGTGAGGAAAAATGAGAAAATAAACAGTCAATTGCTAGTATCTCCTGACAAGTGGACGCAGCGATTGCTAGAGGTTCCATCTACGAAACTCTAGAGTAAAAATGCTGAAAAAAGTGGCAAATTCTATATTTGTATTAATCCTATCTCTCTCTCTCTCTCACCCTATATATATATATATATATATATATATATATTCATCTTATGCAGTGTTACATTAGAACATGCACATATCCACTACAAAATTGTACATTTTTGTTTCAACCTCAAAAAAGGGGAAAACCTTTTTTAGAGGTCTCATCAGGTGGGGAACTACGGTGTTACTAAACGTTTTTATTCAGAAATACAGTTATCGAAGCAAATATCCCCAACTTCCATTCTTTGGAAATTTTCATAAAATATCTTTTAGAATTTACATGTAGAGATGGAATGGAATGTAATTCATTAAGTAGTCGCGGGCGAACGAAAAGGAAGGGAAAAAGAACAATGGGGAAAAGGAAAAGAAAAGGAAGAGGAAAATAAAAATAAAGAGGTCATGGGAAGAGGAGGGGTAACACTGCATAAGAGAAATAAATATTTATACCTCTACATTGTATATTGAGCACAGTTTTAACATTAATGTTCTGAACGCTGTAATCTTACGGTTCGTTCTTCTACACTTTGATATATTTATTAAACAAAGTAACTCATAATAACAAAACAAAATGTCCTTAGCAACTGGAAGAATTTAGAGAACACTATTTTCATACTGTTAACTGAAAATTACGTCAAGTACTGTCATGTGTGGAGATATTGCTTTTATTGTGGTATTGACGGATTCAACTATTTTCTTTTGATATTTTTTTTTGATTTCATGTCATATTCGTTTAGATCGATTTCATCACGATTCTTCTGCTAATTTCTTTCTGTTACACACAGTATATATATATATATATATATATATATATATATATATATATATATATATATATATATATACTAAATAATACGGAGTTAAATTTTAAACTGATAATTTAGTTTAAATTGAAATATATTACCCTTTAATAATCCTTATTGATGATAAAATTATTTAAATTGGAATAACCTTTGATAGTTATGTAGGTACCTAAAAACAGTCACGAGTTTAATTTATGAACAAAACTCAAACGAATAGTTGTCAACTTAATAATCAACAAGAAAAAGTTAAGGGAAATAAAGAAGATTACTAGATGTAAAATGAATTATTCTTTCAACGTACTTTCTATGAATTTTTTCCAATCGACTATTTCATAGAAAATACCCAAAACTCCAACAAACATCAAATTAAATTCTTCATAGATTTTGTAGACATTTATATTTATATCAAACTTTAACCCCCAAATATACCCTTTAAAATAATGCGAAATAACAGCGTCCAAGAAATTGAGTGAATCCTTCTCTCATTAGGATTGTTTTATTGTATCTTCCTCCTTTTATGTCGGCTTTCCTCTTCACCACTTACCCATCCATATCTAAAGATAACATAAGTCAAGTGAAGCATTTGTCTGGCCCACACCAAGTGTGGTTAGGGATAAAGAATTGAAATGGTACATCTAATGTCTTCTCTCCCCGTCACTTCCTCTTCTTCTCCTCCCCCCCCTTCCTCACTTCGCCTTCTTCTTAATTTCACTTCGTTAATTTGCATATGCTTAATACGGCCCGTCAAAAATGTGTAAATTTCTTTTCATTTTTCATTTCAACTTTTGGAAGTAAAGTCTGATGATCCAGAGACCTTTAAAAGGGCTGTGGTGAAATAATTTATTACATGGAACCTTAAAGTGGTCTGTTTTTTATTCAAACTTATTTGCTCTGAATTTACATTGAGCTCTCCGGATATCATCCTCCTTGGGTCTACCCATACGGATTACCTAGTTTTGCATAAACTATATATATCTGCCTCAAATGTTACTTATTTTACATTCTATTCCGCCGTGCCTCCATCCCATGCATTCCTGGAAAGATTCTCCAAGCATTCTCCGCAGCTCCGTTGTTACGGCCCTCTTGAGCATTACCACGTTGGTAAAGGTTGAGCTTGAGGAAAAGGAAAATAATCGCACGGAACCAGATCGAGTGAGTAGTGAGGTTGCCCCAACACGGCGATATTCTCGTCAAGAAACAGTAGGTGCAGTTCCTTGGTGAAGCAGTCACGAGTTGTTCAACTTTCAACTCTCGACTCTTCTCGCGTACTGAACGAAGCAAACGCCGCTAGATATTTTTGTAGACATGCTAGTTGATCGTCTGGCATTATGACAAGAACTCTATATGAACCTGTTATGGTCCGGTTCCTTGTACCACAGTGATAGTCCAAAGTAGAACCAATAAAGAAGAACTCGAACACGGATATGAAATAAAACAGATATGTTACAAACAGAAATATATACAGAGAAGTAGAAGTGTTATTATGAACAATCAGGTTTAGTAGTAATTGTAACAAACACGACTCTGTTTCGAACTGCCTCTGACTCGACTAACTAACTCTGACGGAATACACTCCAGACTTCAGACTGAACTCAGACTTCAGACGGAACGGTATTTAGTCACTCCCCCCAAAAGGGCAAAAAAAAAAAAAAAGCCAGTTTAACGTGGGATCTCCGAGCAAATGGGCGGCCAATCATCCAGATTAAAAAACCCGTATAAACGGGTTCAGGAGAATATTTATCAAACCCGAGAAAACTCCGACCTTCGGCGTATTCGTTCGGGTTCCTCCCCACCCGAACAAATGGGTTCAAACCATCAAATGGAAAATTGGTCGCCCGACTTGGGCTGAACACATTAGTCACCCCTTTTAGGATTTCATTTGGTAAGGCCGGTTTTTTTTGCGATTTTTATATGGATTTATAAAAAAAATGAATTTTTGAACCCGTGAAGTTTAAGTGGCTTCTATCTTGCTTGCCTTTAATATGCACCGTGAAGATATAGTGGCTTCAATGATGCTTGCCCTTAATAGACTATGAAGTTTAAGTGACTTAATCTTGATTCTGAAAATATTCTTCATGAAGCAAAAGTGGCTTTATCTCGCTTCACTAAAACAAAAATTTTATTTTAAGTGGCTTAATATTTTGAAAACACTTAATATGCCCTTGGTGAATTGGAAAGTGCAACTGATTAAAAGATTATATTGCCCAATATGCAAGTGAAGTTTAACTTAGTCATTTTATCTTGCTTAACATCTTAAAATGCACCGTGAAGTTTATCATTTAAATTTAAAGCTTACCATTAATTTTCTTGTAAAGTTTAAGTGACTTCTATTCGCTTACCCTTAATATGTTAGTTAAGTTTAAATCAATTTCTTTCGCTTAAACTTAATATTTCCGTTAAGTTTAAGTGACTTCTATCTCGCTTATTTTTAAAATAATTTGTCAAGTTTATAACAATCTATCTCACTTCCCCTTAATACTTTTTCCATTGAATTTTAAGTGACTTCTATTTATCTTACATTTAAATATGTAAATAAGTTTATTTGATTTATATCTCGCTTTTATTTTAATATGTCCTTATGTTTAACTATTCTATCTCGCTTACCTTTAATAAGCTCCGTGAAGTTTATGACTTCTATCTATATTATATATATATATATATATAGTTTAAGTGACTTCTATCTTGCTTACCCTTAATATGCTCCGTGAAGTTTAAGTGACTTCTATCTCGCTTACCCTTAATATGCCCCGTGAAGTTTAAGTGGCTTCTATCTCGCTTACCCTTAATATGCTCCGTTAAGTTTAAGTGACTTCTATCTCGCTTACCCTTAATATGGGAGAAAAAGTTTAATTAAGTTTCTATCTCGCTTGCCCTTAATATGCCCTACGAAGTTTAAGTGGCTTCTATCTCGCTTACCTTTAATATGCCCCGTGAAGTTTATGTTTTACAATCCCTACTTCTTTATTATGTGTCCAAAGAATTTCAGCTGTCTCTCCTTATTCCGAAGAGAAGTTTTCTTTTTCTACTCATTTTCTGTGATTTCCTTGTTGCTAACTCTCTCCACTCATGGCATTTTTGGTATCCTTCTGTAAGACGACATTTCTGCTGCGTTTAATTTTCTTCTCATCCGGAGGAAGATTATCGAACAAGAGGATAGATAACGGTTATCAATCCAGCACACCCCAGTGCGTGTTCAAATTTCGCTGTCGTAATTTCCATCCACCGTCAAAATATATATCAGATATTTAAATTTATGCACCCACTTGAGGTTTATATTTACAATTCGTAACTCGCATCTTGGGATTTTTTCTCTTGCTGGTGAACATACTTTCTGTTTTCTTGCAGTTTTTTTTTTCTCGCTTTCCGAGTCGGCAAACAAAACAGTGTCATTTGCGTATCGTGTATTGTTAAGATTACGCCCATTGATAGAAAATCCTGATAGGGTCTCCAGTTCCGGTAGGACAGCATCGCTGTAGATATTGACAAAATCTGTGGAGAAGACACATCATTGCTTTACACCGATTTCTATTTTTTGCGGAACTACTCAACACGCTGTTCTAAAAACAAAGAAAGCTTGCAAGAATCAGCAAAATAAA